CAGCAAAACATTCTTTAATGAATTATAGATGACACGCACTTCTTATACCTAAGAATAAAATTACTATTCTGTGAGCATTGAGAACAAAGAAGATTAAGTTGGTGGTGACTATATGTATAAACATTATTTTACTATTGGAAAATTAGTGCTGCAGTTCCAGGGTTTGTTGGGGGGGGGTCATTGCAAATGAATTCATAGAGTCAGACCACCTCTAATCCAATAAGGGAATTTATTGGAATGATGCCTCCAACAAGATGAGTTCCAAAAGGAAGCAGCAGCTTAGTAAGTCAGATTTATAGTATAATGATGCTGGTTACACAACAGAAATTATGAATATTAAAAAGGCAGGAGGAATTTGTTAAGGGTAATGGCAAGGGGTCCCAGTCTCAGTGAAACTGCATGTGCAATCATCCACAATGCATACCAGAAAAAAAAAAGTTGGGGGGGGCTTGTATGTATGATAATGATATTATAACAAGCCTCTCTACCTCATAAGTTCACTAAAGGACAGTTTTTGCTGTTACTGTAGAGGTGCCTACTTAGGGAAAGTCCCTTCTATTATTTTGGGGTCCATATCCTGCTTGAACATCATGGTGGTGCTGCTTTTTGATTAGCTGAGTATTTTGATCCTGTCTGAGATTAGTTGGACATGGTTGTGGTTGAGTGACTGGAAACCCTGCTGTTTCTGGGTGAAATATGAGGAATGGGTCTGGTTGCAGTGGCTAGCTAGAAGCAATGGATGGGATCACATCACATGCATATGCTTACTGTTTCTGTTAGAAATATGAGTTCACGAACACACCTGTATTCTGGTGAGGCAGTGAGGCACATATGAGGAAGTTAGGATATTGAGTCGGAGTGGAAGGGGGAGGGGCAGGGCAGTGGCTAGGTAGGGGTAGTGATGATATTGAGTCTGGGGGACTGTGGTAGCTTAAAGCCAGATTGTGTGGTTAAATCTGAACATGCCTGTTGCTCAGTGGGGCCCATAAGGAAGTTAGAATATTGGAGCTGGGGGCCGCTTTATTAGGATTGCACCAGTAGAACAATCAAAAGAAAGTTAAACAGAAAAAATCGTATGGATATAAATATATATAGATACATAATATGTGTATATATTTCTTTTTGATCTTCACCTTCCTATGGCAAATAGCAGAGACTTACTTTATTATAGAAATAATGGAAAATTTATCTATGTGCAAATGAATAACAAATTCAAACTTCCCATTTTGCTCAGTCCTGTTTGGAGCTCTGTCTTGAACATATCTTAAGTTGCATGACCTTTTACTTGTTCTAAATGGAATTTGTAAAGCTATCGTTATCCAATCATAAAAATCCCATTCTTGCATCCAATATTATTAACCTTGAAGAAAATACAACCTTATTATCATTCTGAACTAGGAAATACAGCTCGTTTTTCTACTTCCTCCATCCTTTTCTTCCTTCCTTCTTCTTTCCTTCCTTATTTTCTCCCTCCCTCCCTCCCTTCCTTTCTTTCTTTCTCTTTTAAAACACTAAAAAACATAGATAGTCAGCTGACTTGCTGCTTTTCCCTAGGGAAGATCAGGCCTTTCCAATGTACTCACAGCTGAAACCTCCTTTATTAGAACTTGAACTTCTGGAGAACAAGGTCGGTTTTATTTTTCTATTTGTATCCACAGTGCTTGGCATAGTGCTTTGCACATAGCAAATACTTAATACTTACTTTTTCATTCATTAATTTATTCAAAACAGAGTAATAGCTAATGTTTACATAATGTTTTAAGTTTTATAAAGCACTATATGTATATATGTGTGTGTGTGTGTATATGTATGCAAATTTGTGCCTCACTATAATCCTGTGAGGTGAGTTCTATTGTTATCTCTATCTTACAGATGAGAAAATAGGCTGACAAAGTTAAATCACTTCTACTTGCCCCTTTACATTATGCATTGTTTCTTTAGAAAAATCTGGGTACATTTTAATAATACTTAAATATATTGCTTTTATGTTCTTCTCTAGGACATCCTATTCATGGACACTATCTCTCTTGGTACCCTCTCTCTCAGATGAGGTATTAAGTAGTGGCCTGTGGCCCCAACCTTTTGCTTTCCCTTCTGGCAGGAATTAAAGTCTCCCTTGGAGAAGAACAGGGAGAGAAAATGGTAGCGATGTTTATTTTTGCTTCCTTGAGAGCTGCATTAAGATATCCCATGCAAGCATTCATTTTGTTTTTCTTGCTATGCCATTAAATTGGACCTTCTTCCATGCTACTTCCATATTCTTTACCATCCTACATCTTTCATACTATTAAAAATTAAAAATATAGTTCTTGTTTCAAAATATATTGAGAAAGAAAGCTGAATGCATATAAGAAAGAAATACCATAAAACCTATTTTTCTTTTTCTCTACTGATGGGATACTGTTGGTGATATAAGAATTTGTAGTAAACCCTTTAAGTTAAAAGAATCAAGTATATGGTACAATGGAAAGAAAATAAGTTCTGAAGTCAGAGAAACTGGATTCAAATCCCAATTCTCATGCTTAAAAACATGTGACTTGGGTGAAATTGGGCAAATAACTTCATTTTCCTTTGTGTAAGTTTCCTCAGTTGTAAAATGAAAGTCCCCCCCACCCAGAATTTAGGGGTGAGGAACCTGTGGCCCTCTTAAGTCCTCAAGTGTGGTCCTTTGACTGAATCCAAATTTCACAGAACACATCCCCTTAACAAAAGCATTTGTTCTGTAAAACTTGGACTCAGTTAAAAAGCTGCACCCAAGGACCTAGAAGGCCATGTGTAGCTTTGAGGCAGCAGCTTCCCCACCCCTTTATCTAGATCCTCTAAAGGATGCTTCTGGCATTAAATCAAAGATTCTATTACCTAAATTAAGGGTTGGATTAGGTGACCTCTGAAGTCTCTCCTGGTGCCAGATCTATGATCCTATATATTTTTATATCAAAAATCAATTAGGAAGGGGAAGCTAGGTGGCACAGTGGATACAGCTATGGCCTTAGAATCAGGAGGACTTGAGTTAAAATCTGGCCTCAAACACTTGACACTTACTACATGTGTGACCCTGGACAAGTCACTTAACCCCAAATGCCTTAAAAAAATCATTTGGGCAAAAGGAAGTCTTTATGCAAATAATTCAAAGTTTTGAAATGAAATATACTTTTGAAATTATTATATCAACTTGAATGTGAAACTCGTTTTGTCTGTTTTCCATTGCATTAGTAGAGAGTGGCATGAAAATTATGTAGAAATTACATCAATTCTCATCCTCATTAGCATAGATATGGTACAACTAACTTTTTTAGGAGGTTCTAGATCTGTGATGTCATTTGTCTGGGGAACTTGAAATGAGGACACTCCCTTTTCCAGTGGTGATTACCACCTGTTCCATAATTTATAATTTTACATAGTTGTCAAGGGCATTAAGAGGTTAAGTTACTTGCCTATGATCACACAGCCACAGGTTCAAAAGAGGAACTTGAACACTGGTGTTCTTCACCCTGAGGCTGACTATTCACTATGTTGTGAAGCCTAAATTACATTTAATTGCCTTGTTCATCTATTCTAGCCAATCTCTCATTTAAATATGTACTGCTTGTATTCCATTGAATTGTCTTCTTTTCTAACAGAGGGTAGAATCTCATCAGCATTCTCCAAAGGAAAACTTTTTCCCCCCTAAGGCAGCATGCTTTCATATAGGCTACTTAAGTAAGGTATTCTTTGGAGAAAATATTCTCTTTGCCTTGCCTGGTACCTACAACCCTCTGTGCAAATAGAACACACAGTCCTATCACCATATTCTTCTTCCAGTTGCCTAGAGAAGTAATCTCAGTTTATCCCTTTTTTCTAGGCCTTCTACATTTAAAAATTCTATTCTTTATCTCAAGTACAAATGAGAATGATTTAGAATCAGAGACTACTATGACTTGAAGAGAGTATTCCACTGTTGATAGAATACTGGAGTAGGAGTCAGGAAGATCTCTTGAGATACTGCCTTTGATACTTGATAGCTATGTGACTCTCGATGAGTTACTGAACCTTTCAAGCCTCAAATTGGGGATGACAATACCTGTAAAACTTCAACCCAAAGTATTGATGTAAGAATCAAATGTCACAAGTTACCCCCATATCCTTTGCCAACCCTGAATTGCTATATAAAATGCTATTTGTAGTTATGGTATATGCAGTATTATTGTAGTGCAAACTATACCAATTTTAGATTTAGGAGAAAGGGTCAAATCCAACCTCTGATATTTCCTTTGTGACATGAGGAAATCACATAACTTCTCTGGGTTTCAGTTTCTTGAAGTATAAAATAAAGGGGTTGTAATAAATGGATTCTGAAGTCTGATATCACTCTAAAACTCACATCTCATGACATTATGAAGTCATTTAATCTCTGTGTGCCTAAAATTTAGTTAATTCTTTAGTTAATAATCATCATTATATTAGCTTTGTGATACTGGGCAAGACATATTACCTTTCTTTTTGCTAGGGGCAACTCTCTAGATCATATCCACTGAGCCATAAAGGGTTATTATCTACAATAATAGAGGAGAGTTTCAACAAAGGGGGTACCTCATGCTTATGAAATTCACATTGCTTTCCTACCTATATTTAACCCATTATAAAATCTATGTCAGGCCATGTTTGCAAATGCCAAACAAAAAGCATAGGAAAATAATCAAAATCTTAAAATATGTTTACCACTCAGTTACAGGTAGACTTTGAGTTTTTGCTTTTACTAACATGAAATAAAAGCAAATTCCTTATAAGTTTTGATTGTCACATTCTAAATTAATTTGGAAGAAGGAGAAAAAAAGATTTGAGTGATTTGTTTATGCTTTATTTCTCCATAATGTTTATGTGTCTTCTTTTCCTTTGTTGCTATGTTTAACACCTAGTGAAAATAAATCATTCTTTGTTTAACATGATTTAGTAGAAATTCTTCCTGAAAATAAAACTGTGATACAGGCAAGTCTATATTTGTTTACTTAAGCCCCCATTGAAGTACATAACAAATAAGCAAAAAAAAGTCTCGGTTCTCAAATGATTTTGCAGGAAGGTTCAAGATGGTGTGTTGAGAAGGCTTTTATATAGTTGTGAGGAGATGCTACATTGCAGTAGAGGTGTCTTATTTCTTCTGAGGTCCATATTGGTTTGAATCTTCTGAGTTGCTGTAGTTGAATAATGCAGTGTTTTTAAGAATAGTTCTGTAGAAATAAAGTTCAGTGAATCTCAGAAAACTTAAATTGAAAAGAACCCTTGGGACTATCCATTCCAATATATAACTGATTGAGAATGCTTTGTCTAGCATACCCAAAAATAGATACCTGGTCTTTACTTGAAGCTTTTCTATGAGAGTATATGCTAGGGGCAGCATAGTCCCTTGTTGGATAGTTGTATAATTAGAAAGCTCCTTACCTCAAGGCTAAATATAGCCTTCAATTTCTACACAGTGCTCTTAGTTCTGCCTTCTAGGGCCAAGAAGAACAAACCTAATGCCTCTTCCATATTACAATTCTTCATATTTGAAGATGAGAGTCATAATCACTGTCTTCTGTTTTCCAAGCCAAATGTGTCCCTCAAGATCTTTCATTTGGTCCTTATAGGGCGTTCTCTCAAGTTCCCTTAGATTTATCTTTTCTATGTCTTTCCTAAAACATGGTGCTTTGACCTAAACACAGTATCATAGGTGCACCTTGACTTTGTACATCCTTTATTCAGGGCATTATTCCATAAATAAGGCAGAATAGGATAATATTAGGTTTTTGTTGTGTGTGTGTGTGTTTTTTTCTACATCACACTGCTGGAGGAAGTTCTGCATAATGAGTGAGACAACTCTATGACTATATTAGATGTGGATGAGTTCTACTTTAATGGAAGGAATTCCCACACTGAAAAAGTTCTCAATATTTCATTGCTGATTGATACTGAATTTGTTTGGACTTATATTGAGGTCACAATCAACTAAAAATACTAAATGACTTTTCACAATAATTGCCATTTAGCTATGTCTCTCCCATTCCATGTGGCAAAATGATCTTTTTTAACTTAGAAATTCTTATTTGTTGGAGTTATAATTCATAGATTTTAGTTGAATTCAAATTATTTCTTCAGGGAAACCATATTGAAGCTCTCATTATACCTAAACACTTTCAAGAAAACGGTCAGGTTAAAAGGAAGATGCAAACTGCTAAGGTTATTCTGAAGTAGTGTCAACCAATGAGACTTATCAATTCTGCTGAGTTACTTAGGGGATGACATCTCAAGTCTTTTTTTGTACATACATTGGAGAGATTTAAACTTTTAGGGGGCAGCTGGGTGACACAGTGGATAGAGCGCTGGCCATGAAATCGGGAGGACCTGAGTTAAAATCTGGCCTCAGACCAAACACTTGACCCTTACTAGTTGTGTGACCCTGGGCAAGTCACTTAACCCCAATTGTCTAAAATAAATAAATAAACAAATAAACAAACAAACAAATTAGTAAATGAATGAATGAATGAATAAATAGAATAAACATTTAGAAAACAGTGCTAAAAAGCTAATATGCAACTCTGAATAAGTCATTAAAGAATTGTGATGGGAATAACATTTTTATAATTTAACATAATAAACCAGGGTAGCAAGGAATTAACCCAACCAGGAAGCATTGCTTCATTCATTTTATTTCTTGGCAAATTTAAATGGGAAATGAAATATTTTATATTTTAAGCACAAACATGCATAAAGTACCAAAACAAATCTATCACATACACAAAAACTATTATATTCTGAATCTAATTTTCAGATGTGCCTTCATGAAACATCATCAATTTTCTAAATACAGGTGTATGTGGTACTGAATTGTATTTGATTTTTTCTTCCATCATTTGTGTGGATTGTTTTCAATTCTCACAGAATTCCTGCCTTCAGTGTCCCAAAGTGCTATTTCAAAAGGGTGTCAGATGGTAAGAAATTCTTTCCTACTCCTTTCTTGAGGTGGAATTCCAAGGTTGTATAAAATTGCACATGACAACAGATCACTTTGATTAGATTTTTGGTTTTACTGAGACGGACATGGGGGAAATGTGGGTGATATAAAAACAAAGCATGTTAATTAAAATCTACTAAAAAGAATATTTGAATTACTAACTAGCTTTAACTAGCAATTTTGACACCTAAGTCAAACAGTGCCAAACATGTCAGAGCAAATATGAAATTTGCCCTTAATCTACCCTTATAATGCACTATGTAAAAAGATAGAAATAATTAGGAAAAAATAGTTGAGAATCAGGAGAAATTAACTGTCATGGTCTCCTTTATATTGTATGTTTTAAATGTTTATGCCCTCTTAATCTGGTTTTCCTGGAGTTAAGCCCTAATTGCTTCACACTAATTTTCTCTGTTGTGCATGTGTTGTTGGAATTTGGGGGGAAAGTTGTTTTTTACATCTAAAATATTTGCTCTATATACAAAGAAAAAGAAATTGATGACTTTATTTTATCCTGCTTATATTTTCCTCATATTTCCTACACCTCTTTCTTCTAGCCAAAGCAAAATAAAACTGTATTTGTAGATTACTCTTCCTTTTGTAGCCTTTCTACATTAGTAATTCTGCAATTTGAAATAAGGAAGAATTTTTTTGTATCTCTTTTATAAGCAACACTTTCCTACATGCTTTTGCTTCAGAAAAATGCTGAGATTATTTTCCTTTCTATTCTCTTAACACACACATGCAGCACTACAAGCTATGATCTATCTTTCATCTGAATCATGGAGCATTTTCATCCCAGCCAAATTGCAAACTTGGCGAAACATTGTCTCCATCCCTTTGCATTGATTAAAAAAAAAAAAGATTTAATTATAGAATTGCTAGCCCAGATAATCTAATCCCATGATGTGAAATCTTGTATTTCACTTATATTTCAAAATACAATTGCTTTCTTCTTAATGCTCATTGTCATCATGAAATGGTTGAAATTCTAATCTATTTTGGTGAGTTCTCAATTTTATTCTGGCTTACATTTAATTTTGCAATAAGCAAGGTCATTTTCATTGGCCTAGAATGAGCTGATTTGTAGAAAGTATAATGCAATTCATAATGTATCTCTACAAAGAATTGTACTGAAGTCAGCCTATTCCTGATTGGTTCTCTGCTGCCATTTAACAGAGTCACTAATGTAGATGTAGTGGATGCTTTCAGTTGTATTTGAGCATCTTCACTATTGATGCCTCCAATGACAGGTTATCTTGGGATTACTCTTTTTATCTAGTTAGATAACTCTTACTGATGTTTAAAAGCAGCTGCCTCCTTTGATGATAACGTTGTTTCCTATAATCTGAATCCACTCTGAGAACATTTATAATCCACTCTTTTCTTTTTCCCTTAATTTTAGAATGTTGAATCTGTGGACTGCAAATACACAGAAGAGAATGGGAGCAGCTGCAGTGGCAGAAACATATCCCACATCCCAGCAATATGTGTTTTCATGGCTTTGCGTAATGATGCTCCCTGGCTGCCGTGGTTTGTTTCCGCACATTTTCTATAATGATGTATTAAAATGAGATCAGGAAATATTCAACTTTTATGTCATTCCTCACTGTCCACTGTCTTCCTAAGAATGCTTGGGAAACCAGTCATCAGCCTCTCCCTATAATACTAAATCCACAGCAGCTGGAAAGAAACAAAGTCCTCTAGAAAGAAATATACTCACCATGTTCTGAGAACAAAGTTAGAGTGAGCCTGACTATGTTTTGCTCCTGATAGCTTTCAGGATCTGATGTAAGAGGAAGAAAGCAGCCATGCATTTTGGACTAGATGTACTTTTATGCCAAATACATGAGTTTAGAATTCCTGGGTAGTCTCCTCCTCCTTTCTGTTTATAATAGACATTTAATATCTTCTTCCCGGTGTTTTAAGATGTTGATGAATGTTTTTATTTCTTGTCTCTGTCCTTGGTGAATGAAAACTATTTTATCGAGCTATAAACAGAGATGCATTTCAGGCTATTAACGAGCATTTAGCAAAGTATCTACTATGTGTTTTGCAGAGGGATGGGCAATAATATATCTCCTAATGGAAGTATCTCCCATTTCTACTTCATCATAGTCCCTTTAAGGATTGTGTGGTTACTCTCTATCTAGGCCCAGCATGCTTCTGGGAAAAAGAAATTCTATCCCATCCTGCCTTCCTACTCCTTTATCAAAATATCTTTTCCATTCAGCCAAATATTAAAATGTATAGATATGTAAGTATAAATGCATAGCATGAAGTTAAGATTAAATTTGACAATTATTCAGCCAATATGACTATTGTAGAAAACCAAAGCAGAAAATTTCAAAATGTCACTCCTGGAACTAAATTGTCTGATGTGGATTTGTATGTGATCTAGACATATATGCACATATATGTTTATGATAAATACACATATTTGTATATACATACAGATATATGTAATTTGGATCCAATATTTAGACACAAACACTCTGTTTTAAATTCCTTGTCTCAACATATTTTTATACCGTCAACAGGTTTTATGTTACACACAGTTGATTGAAATCATAGCCAGTATATCAACAACTTGATCAAAATAAGGGTGATTTAAATCCTTTTTTTTTTCTGAAATGCTTAAGGCAATTAATCCGTCTTGAAATCTCTCTTTTAACTTATTGAATCTTTTCAAGGTTTGCACTTATTCTCTCTTCTTTCTCTCCAATATCAGAAAAACATGGAAGATCAATTGTAGTTTTTAATACAAAGAACTATTCAGTAAGCATTTATTAAATTTTGATTGAGAAGTGGAGCCAAGAGGGAACACTAAGGGCAGGGAGTCACCTGAGATCTCCCCCAAACTCCTACAAACACCTTTAAAAAATTACTCTAAACAAATTGTAAAGCAGCAGAACCCATAAAAAGGAGAAGTGAAATAAATTTCTAGTGCAAAACAACTTGGAAAGCGGCAAGAAAGATCTGTTGCACAAGGGTGAGAGAGAAGCACAGTCCAGCTCAGGCCACACAAGCACAGACTTGGCCCCAGCAAACCTGGAGCAGTCCTCAGGGCAACTGAATCAATGGCAGCAGTGGAGGTTTCCAGACGTTTCAGCCCACAGATGCCAAAGACAACTTAGGAGGTCAGCAGGAAAGGTCTGTATCTGGGTGAGAGAGGAGTGCAGTCCAGCACAGTCCTGGCCATAACAAACCAGGAGCAGACCTTGGGAGAGACTGAAT